GACGAGTGCTTGCGGTGTTCGGCCAATCACAATGCACTGGGTCAGCTGGCCAATCAGAGCAGACTGCGCTTGTCAAAGGAGGGGGCTTTGTTGAAAACGACACGTTTGAGAGAGGCGGGGCATAGCGGACCTACAATAATGTACAGTATTTGAAAAATAATGTGTTTTTTGAACATTAAAGCATGTCAACATATTCTGTTACACCAAATACACAAAATAATGATCTTTAAAATAGCATCATATGACCCCTTTAAGAAAATACTGATCTCCATACCTTCCTCACTTTATTCACTCTCTCACTTTATTGGTGTATAGTCACACATATTTGGAAGAAACACTGCTGATTGCATAACATAAATCTCTAGCTTTAAACTCAGGAGTTCAAATATGATTTCAGTTACATTTCCAAGAAAAATGAAGATTGGAGTGCACAAATGTAGATTTGAGCCCACTGGACCCCATAACACTAACACAGATAACAAGACAGTGATCCATACGACTGCGGTATATTCCAAGTTTTCTGAAATCATACAATGGGTTTGTGTGAGACATTTGAAATTTAACACAGGACACTTGGCTCAGAATTTGTGCTAAACTTTTGTGTATAACCTAGGCATAACCTTTTGTAAAGGTTTAGAACAACATGAGGGCAAGAAAATTATTAACTTTTTCTTTAAAACAGAAACTAAGAAAAAAAGAACATCTCCAATGTTACTTTCTCATGCCGAGAAATAAGTTATGTGTGGGTTGTTTCCCTTTGAAAAGTGTAATACTGTGTGGTGCTATCAAAGCATTGCTCTATTTGTACATCCTGACCAATTAGCAATTGCATTGTAACATGCTAAAAAACCACTCAGAATACCTTAGCAACTACACAGCAATGCAGTGTCAACCACGTTACCGCATAGTAGCATGCTGAAGATCATTTAGAATACCTTAGCAATAGCACAGCGGCATGCTAAAAACAGTAAATGCACAGCAATACACTGGCACCCACCCAGGACATCCTATCAACTGCATACCTCACAAAACACTGTACACTCTTAAAAAAATGAAGTATTTTATTAATAGAAATGAATTTTCCATATAGATTTATTTTTACAGGTGTTTTACCTGTTTTTTGAATTTTGCACTGCATTGCATTGACAGAAACGGATATGTCCATAAAATTATGGATAATATCCTGACAGAAAATTACCAGAACATATTCCATTTTATTTTATTTTTTTACAGTGTATAACTGCAATTGCAACACCCTGCCAACCACCCAGAATACCCCAGTATAGTGGTGTCGAGCCTTTGTACGGTCAATCACCACTCACATTTACTTTAAACACCATGTCACAGAATCCGACCGTCTCTAGTCCTGAGCGCTCATAACAGCAATCAGTTTGAGCACAAATATTTATGCGATGGCGTGTTGTAGCTAAAAATACCTCACAGAAAGTCCGTCAGTTACATAAACAGTTCTGCCAGGGCCCGGATGGTCAGGGACGTTTAATGCGAGGAGACCGGTACACTGGAGCTCATGTCATTCTGCCAGGATTCCACCGGTCAGACTGCTGCTCTTGAGTTACTGCACAGGCCGGCCAGCCAGCAGTGAACGGACCGCAGATTTGACACATTAAAACCTTACGTAAGAGTTGCCAGAGACACTGCACCCGGGAAGGGGCTTCAAAGGCGACCACCGGTCAACTGTCTGAATAAGACCACAAACAACTAGGCTATGCATGGACACCCAGTGGCAACACTTCAGGGATGTATTATGTGGGTTACAGCATAACCAAAATAACACAACACATTGCTGGGGCACGAATGAGTCCACAGGAAGCTTTAGGGTAAAAGAGCAAACCAAATCCATCTAGAGGAGGAATCCGTGACTTGTTCGCAAAGGACACTAGGATTAACGCTGGGAGGGGTGTTATGTGATCCATTCACTTTATGCTATGATAGTGTTACATCACATCGAAGCCTATTATCTAGAAAGCTCCTTTCAACCAGGAAACCTTCAATGTTTCTTCTAATCGACTAGGCGATGGAAAGTTAAGCAGGAACTTTCAAGGAACTGCATTCAACGATGAAAGATGATTCCTTAGAGCATTACGCTACTTGACAAGATATAAGACTGATTTCCACAACGTGAAGGTCACCTTTCTGAGTTGTGAGTCTTACATAACTAGCACTGACTGTCTGGGATGTAAGCATCTGCAAATCTTTATTTCATGTTATTCCCAGTCATAACCTGTCTAGATTCTTGCTTTTACGTGAAACATAACCAGCTTTGATGATTCAATATTTGAAGTTTTCATGTTTTAAGTCTTAAAGAGTTCAGCCAACAATGGCAAGTATGCATTTTATCCCCATTTAGTTTTATTAAAATCAAAACCAGCTGATCTAAAGGCAAGCGTGCACCTTAAAGATGACATCATTCCACTTTCTTTAAGGCCCATTCAAAAGGAGAAACACAATTTTCCCCTGGCACTCTTCGTATCAAACATTTAAGACAACTGCAATAAACTCACATCTGTTTGGATAAGTAGGTACTTGCTGGGAATAAGAAAAGATCCAAGTAAAACAGGCAATAGAACAGACACCTGTGACAAGCCTTTGCTGCAACGAAGACAAATGTCCTTCTGTGTCCAACACGATTTTTCTTCCAGAGCTACCCCCTTACATTCACTTTGTTATGAATCTGCACTATTAATGAATGCTCACCTCGTTGAATCTTGTGACGAGGTCTTCTACTGTGTTGTGGTGGTCATTCTGAGTGGGCATGATGGGGGCGGACAAGGAGGCTTTCAGGTGCAGGTGGCATTTGTTGCACTCTGGGCTTCCCAGGTCTCGGGTGAGAAAGCTGAGGTAGTCGAGGGGGAAGACGCGGCGGTATAGCTGCTGCTCCTGTTCTGTCAGGATGGTGGCGATCTCCTCTGGGAACTGGATGAGGTGCCGCAGGTCGGCTAGTTCCTTACTGATGCCCGTCACGGTGGATGGGAGGATGCTGGAGTTGGCCATGGAGCTGCACAGCTGCCGTTCTGGGAGAGACAAAGACAGTGGAGTTTACTGAATAACATCTGTATGGACAGGTAACCTAATGGCCCTCTCCGACCACCATATACCATATTTTCTGCCATGTTCTTATCTTAACATAAGAGAGGTTGCAAGTCCTAACGTTAGTGGTTGATAGCAAAAAATAACCAGAGCATATATAATCCATTCCAAAATCTCTATATTCTCCTCCATATTTGATGGCATCTCGGGAGCTACTCGGCACAAAGCTTGTTCTGAAACAAGAAAAATGCCACCAAAGAGGTATCTCATTACTAAGATTCCTCTTCTTGGCTATAATCTAAGGTAGCTTTACATGCATCCTTCATGGAGAATCGCAGAATGCACTGCAACAAGCTCAGAAAAATAAATGGTGGTGGACAACATCGATAATTAATCAAATTTCTTATATACTGGAAAGTTTAGTTAAAAATGGAACGTTGAACCAAAATTAGAGAAATTTGGGTTGCACTTCATTTTACAGTATGTGTACTTATGTGTACTTACAATGCACTTACCTGAGAAAGTAATGGGTAATATAAGGTAACTACATGGGTTAAGGTTTAGGGGTAAGTTCAGGGATATTACCTAGTTATTATCCAGTTATTGTAATCACTATAATAAATACCTTACCTAGTATGTACAAGTGGAACAGACCTGTAAAATAAAGTGCTACCGAAATTTGTATGATGCACAAATTCTAGACACTGGTTACTTATGAGGGTCCACTGCATTTATGATGCTGCCTTAGAAGGCAGTTGCCTATATAGCTAGTAGGCAGCGAGTCAATTCACTAGGTTTTAGAATAGAGCCATTATATAGGACATTTATTACATGCCGCTAAAATGGTATGTATAAATTAAATCAACCATTTTCGTGTCAACATATGAATCAATATTCTTTATTGCCGCAAGACAGGGCTGGTGGTAATTGTGTTCAGTACAGTGCAGTGCAAAGGAGGAAGATAAACACAGACATAAATAAACCACTCATAATACAATAAAGTACAGTATTTACATGGTAATTAAAAAGAAGCTGAGAGTACCGCAAAAGACAAAACAAATAACTTTGATAATGTACACTGTGTGACACTTCGGTCTCATCAGTGCAGTCTAGTAAAAGTGGAAGGCACCATACAGGCCAGAGTTGTAAATATTCCCAATAACCCATATACTGTGACACTGATGGATCATTTCTTCAACATCCCCGGGCAGTATTTTTTCATTATGTCTCGTTATATTTACATATCTCCACTGTTTACTCCATTCTCGCCTGAGATTACGATCATAAAACAGTTATGCTGGTATGGCGCTCAAGGGCAGGTCAAGCTAAAATAATATAAATACTGTGAATCATGCTTGTCTGGATAGCATCAGCTGTCAAAAGCAGTGTTTGCAGACTCCTTCGGCTCAACGCGCCGCCATGGTGACCGCCGGAACAGGAGGGGCAGAGTGAGAGTCTAGTCTTCTGATAGAACATGTGAGTGTGCTTCTAGTACACACTAAGACTTAGTTTTTGAAACGCTCTATGTTTTGGTGTTAGCATGTCGCTAAGCTATTGGCACAATACCCCAATAAAAGGAAAATGCTTAGCACACAAATAGATTAAATATATACAGTACAATTTTATCAATAGTCAATATAAGTATCTATAGGACTATGCAGTCTAGGCAGCTCACTTGCATATGAACAAATTATTTGTAGTTCAGCTCGGAAATGCAATTACAAAGGAATCAAAATACTTAAAGGGGTCATATGATGCGATTTCAATTTTTCCTGGAAAATAATGTTTTTTTTTTACTTTAAACCGCATAAACACATTTCATTACACACAAAATACAAAATAATGTTCTTTTTAGCAGCATCATATGACCCCTTTAAAAAAAAAAAAAAAAATCTAAACTTTAAATTTTAATAAACCTGAGCTGTGCTGTCTTTATATTGCTTCAAACTGAACCAATGGCCAGTAATACTTAGAGTTTTCCTGAGGTGAGTTTTAGGCACATCATCTTTGCAATATACGGCCTCATATCCATTCGCATTTCATTAGCCATCACATGCATCTATCTGCCTTGTGTCCTTTTCTCTTTGCACATGGCATCTTTTAAAGCAAAATGGAGGGAAATGAATGCACTGCATTAGGCTGTGAATGAGCTGTCCTGATCTTTATGCATGGGCCACTCATGGTGCAGGTCTAAAGCAGACAGGAAGCAGTGCTCGTTTTGTGAACGAAGGCTGAGATCCTGCTATTGGGACAAGCAGAGCAGCTGAGGTGCGAGAGGAGCACAACAAATTGAAAAAAATAATTGTTGCAATAAACACAGTGAAAAGTGCTGATTAAAGCATTGCTTGTAGGTGCAATCCCATTTTTGTCATAATCAGCCTTAGTACACATTTATGTTTCTAGGCATATGTAAACACTGTGTAATATGCAATTAACAGGAAAAGAAGATATCTAAGGATTTATTTGTTTATTTAGACATGACGCTGATACAACACATTAGCCAGTCTAAAAATCAATCAGAAGCTTTAGGAGAAAAGAGCCTTTGTCTTGGACAGAAATAGTCTGACTTATGCATGTTTGATTTATGACCAGTGAGTTAGACTTACAATAACATCCCTAGTATCCCATCTCCTATGGAGAAAAAAATCATTAATAGAAAGTGCTTCTACAAAATAACTAACCTGTAACTACCTAGGATGACAGAAGCCCTATATAAACCATAAAAACATTACATTGACTGTCTTGAGCATGTAGGGAAGACTGAGGGCAACTAACACAAAATGTATTTAAATCACAAAAAAAAGTGATGACACTCATTTAAAGGCTTAGTAAAGTTTCCAATCTGGTGACTTAGTAATTATACATTATTAATAATACATGAACATACAGTATACTGTAAATGCGTCATGTACCAAACATTAGCAGATAGATTTGCAGTATTCAGTGAGTTATGAAGGTAAATGCCCTCAGACTCCTCTACAACCTCCAGAAAAATATTTGAAATGAAGATGCAAGAAAAAAATTCATTCAGAATAACCTTGAGCAGCATGTTTCATTTTGTGTAACAACAGAGTGAAAGCCTACAGAACGTCACAACCTAGCAAAATAGAAAACTCTTTCAATACAACGTGTGGATGTACCATTAAACTAGCCTACACACACATTTTAATTCATTCATTGCTCAGTTTCGTATTAAGCTTGATTTAGTATTTCAATTTATGTTCAAGGCAGTTTAAAACGACCCAATCTACCTAACCTAATGTATCTATGAAGAAAGTGCTGAATTGTGAAGAAAGCATAAAATAAAATAAAATAAAATAAATTTACTTATTCTTCCATCTTCTACAGTATTTACACAGACCTTTTTTTCTTCATACAACTGCTGTCTATATAAACACTGAATATGTTCCATCCTTTAAAGTAGGGCTGCACGATAAATCGCATGCGATATTTAACGCGCATCTTGTCAGAAAGCCGGTTCTGTAATCAGCGGTAAATCTCCAGCAGTTGATGGAGATTTACGGCTGATTACAGAACCGGCTTTACTGATAAGATGCGCGTTATATATCGCATGCGATTAATCGTGCAGCCCTACTTTAAAGGGACAATCACTAATTCTTGTTGTCGTTCCAAACCCATATGACTTTTTGACTACAGCTGCCAGCTCTCAACACAAACAAATTATGCAACCTGAATCAAACATTAAGTCATATTCCCTGTTGATTATTACATACCTGACATAAAAAAAAAAATACTAAAAATCAACTTCACAGTGTTTCTAGGGTTGTTTTTGGTGTCTTTCCAGTCTCATACACCAAAAACCTTGGGCTGCCAAAGTACATGATTTACTCTCTATACAGCAAAAAAACAAAGCACAACACGTCAGTCCTTGACACCAAGCTCTAGCCACCAGAACAGCACCATTGATACTATATTGAAAATAACTCCACAAGTGACAGCACTGCCTGTAGCTGTGTGTATGGTACAGTTGAAGCGTGACTTACTGAGCAGCCTGTAGTCCATCCTCTGTGAGGGGGGGTGTTTCATGGTTGTGGCCGTAGCGGCAGTCGGCTCGCTGACTCCCTGCTTCATGCCGCAGCGGCGAGAGGCGCTTAGCCACATTTAAACTCAGCCTGACTGCAGATGCCAGCTCTCTACACACACACACACACACACTCTGTTTGGCCACTCGTACTCCCCTCCCTCTCTCTCTTGCTCTCTCTCTCACACACATACACATTTACTCTCTCCATTGGCTGCTCCTTCCTGGCAGGTCATGTTACTCACAGATGAAAGCAACACATAGCCTAGTGTTAAGTGCAGGGCAAGGAAATCGAGTCCAGTTAGAATTTGATAGGCAAACAATGACTTTATAGCCTAAATTTGGACATGAGACTTTGGGGATGTGCTTGAGCGTGCTTGTTTCCATCATTAACTTTCCCAGTGCATCCTGAGAGAGACTGATCGAAGAAAAGAACTCATCCAACAGCTTTATGGTCCATATGTCAGCTCCATTAAGCACAGAGAAAAGTTGTCCGGTAGATCTAGGAATTGCATTTATAAAGCCATTAACAACTGAAATCAAATTTATCCCTTAAGACAGGGGTGCCCAACCCTGCTCCTGGCGATCGACTGTCCTGCAAAGTTCAGCTCCAACCCTATTCAAACACACCTGAAGCAACTAATTAGGGTCTTCAGGATCACTTAAAAATTAAAGGCAGGTGTCTTTGATTAGAGTTGGAGCTAAACTTTGCAGGACAGTGGATCGCCAGGAGCAGGGTTGGGCACCCCTGCCTTAAGACATATCAAAGTCAGAGTTGCTGAATATAGGAAAGACCTTTAACACAACTTCAATAACTGTTGTGAATATCAACACAGTTAACCTGGCCTCTCATGTCTTCCAAACCTGTATGACTTCCTTTCCTGCTCATGCTGCACTCTTCTATACAACAAAAGTAACTGGGTAAATATTGTAAATATCAAA